TGAGTCAATCTTTAGCTGGTCAGAATCAAACTCCTGGAGTGAGCCTGCAGTACTGCATTCTAAACGCTGCGCCATCATGGCTCTTCCTTTATGGCAGGCCTGTTAAACTGGCGGCCCACTGGCCGGATGCATCACATGCAGGCCACACCCACCCCTGCTCCACAAAGTCAAAAAAAGTCATGATCTGTCACGATTTGACACCCGTGCTTCAAAGTTGTAAGTGTGAGGAGTAGTCATAAGTAACTTTTTTCAGTGCAATCGTAACTTCAAATGGTCGTTAAGCAAATAGTAGTAAGTTGAGGGCTACCTGTATAGGTGTGATAGTGGGGAGAAATGTCTGTGATGTTCTTGTAATGCTGTTAAGATGGGTATTTATGAAAACAGCCTGTACTTAGAAACTCAAGTACATTCATGTTGATTTCTCTGCAGATCCAAACCCGATGTTTTCATAGTCTGCAATTTCACAGAAGTCACTGTTTATTAACAACTCATTACTGATATCTATACTATATATGTCAATACCGTTCTTTAATCAACATTATAGATAATATATGGCCGGGGGATGGGATACTTTTTAATGTCACTCACATGGAAAGTTTTGCCATTTTTTGAAATGCCTGAATAAGGATATTATGATGAGCAGATTCATATAATTCAGGACAGACAAATGCATAACCAATCACTCTCTATCACGCCAATCCATCTCACATGGTTGTTGTGGGGAAAGTAGAAGGAAGAAGGTGTGCTGGATATGTTTGCCATCTTAAGTTATTTTTAAAAATAATAAAGGTGGGATATCAATAATTAATTAATTAATTAATTAATTCTCTTTTAAGTTTTCAATTGACACCAATATAAACTAACCGGTTGAGTCATGACAGTTATAATGTTGGTCTATGGGGGTGTAGGGCAGGAATAACTATATACACATAATAGTGATTCCTAAATAAGCTATTAAAAGTTTAGACATTTTTATCTTCTCTCTTATTTATGCGTACACTTGAATAGTTTGCTGACTTACAGATAATTAAGAAAAGCTGTCAATGTACATCAGAGCCTGAAGGCAAGCATTGATTTACTTAAAAGATTTTAAAGAAAGCTTATAATCAATAAACAATGGGAGAGGAAAGGCAGTTGTATTTCAACAATTTACCTTCTATAGTGAAATTTCTACAAGAATCAGCCTGGTAGAGGTGCCACAGCAATTTGCACTTATTCATTTTGGTAGCCATCTTCCATGCTGCAGTTTCCATAATAATAATAAAATTTGATACATAAAAACAAATAAATTATTGCTTTTTTTCTAAGATTTTCACTTAACGTTGTGAAAGTCTTTGATGTGAAATGTATAAAAGCACTTGATGAGCTATAAGCAGATAATGTGCACAGGGAACTGGAAAGGAAATAAAGGATATCATTTTTATAATTTTCCTAGAGAAACAAAATGTAATCAAATTTGTCATAAGTGATCTCTGTGCTTTAAAATGACATCTCACAGGGAAAAGGTAAGTTTGAGTAGCTCTCGGTGAAAAGAAAGCAGCTGACTGTTAAACCCAATAAATTTTAATTTAATGAGGAGAGGCGTTATGCTTATCATTAAAAAAAAAGTTAGAGAAAAATATTGAAAGAAAACTTTAGTAGAGGACTACTGGATTGGAGTGATAAAAACTCAAGGCTCTATTGATGTGCTGATTAAGGAAGATAACGAATGATGTAGCACGAACTGAAAAAAGCATATGGATTATGAAGCTGCCTTTAGTGGTTGTTGAAATAATTTAATTGATTCATAGACATGAGTTTTAAAAGAGTAGGCCATGAATCTGGGTGAGGTAAGACAACTGGATAATTGATTGTAGAGTAATTGTGCTATTAATTTCATTTAGTTATGGCCACACAATGATAAACACTTGTAATCAAATCTATATTTTCATATACCTGACTGATAGTAATTAACGCAATCCTTGGTTAAAGGTTCAATTAATTTACATTGTATAAAGAGATCATGTGAGACAAATGCATCACAAAATATTACTCAGTCGAAAGAATCCTTTTCTGAATAAATTTTCCACTCTTAGTTATTTTCTAAAAGTTCTTTTTCAGAATATCAGCAGAAAGCCTCTGGATGAGGTCATCTAATAGTCTGGGTGAGGTCATCTAATGGTTTGCTGACAGCTTTACTTAGCTTTATATCTTCACCACAGGCTTCCCTGGTGATGCAGTGGGCATCCTGTCCCAGAGAATGGAGGCTGGATGGGGCGTAGTAGACTTCGGCTCCTCCCAAGCAAGACTGAATGGCTTTGATTATTTAGCCTTCTTGTGCCAGGGATATTCCGTGTTTGTCTCTGAATGAGATGGCACTACCTCAGGCAGACTTGGCATCCAATCTGGGGGATTGACAGGTTTTGCTCAAAGAGTAGGTGGCAGTCCTGGCTTGGAGGGCTTTTGAACATCTTGTATGTTGGTTGTACCTGTTCCTGAACTGGGAGATTCTACTCACAGTCACACATCCACTATTCCAGGTTTAGCAAGAAGGGTATGCTCCAGGTCTCATCAGCTAAGGAATGGCAGCTGGCAGCTGGCAGGACTCAGAAGACCCAGCCTTGTTTTGCCATAGTGCCTACCCTCTGAAACAATCTCTCTGAAGATTACCAACCATTAGCCAACCATGCTGGCTGTTCAGAAGATCTAGAAACATGAGCCTATGCTTTGCCCTCGACTTCAAGTGTGTGAAGGGACCTGTCTCTTGGCTTTGTTGTTGGTGGTTGTGGTTTTCTTGACTACTGTGTATTTTCATTTTTGTTTATGTATCTTTATTTTTTTTAACACTCTTCACTGCCTAAAGTCATTTGTTGAGATGGGCAGCTAAATAAATTAAATCATTAATAATTAAAATAGTTAATGTTCTGTAGAAAAGTTATAAAAATGGGAAGAAATAGACAGTTCCTCTGTCCTATTATTCACTAAATACCAAGGTAGTTTTTCTTTTGAAAGAGTGAATGCCTCTCCAATTCACTGGCCCTTCCTTTAATGTCAGGGCTGGGCCTTCCTTAGCAAACATGTGGTTAGGGTCAGGGATGGGCTGCTGAGGGTTTGCAGGGGTTTGAGAGAACCTCTAGCTAAGATTCTGTGCAATTTGGAGAACCCCCAAATCCCACTCCTGGCTGGCCCAGCCCGGCCCACTCCATCCCTCTCAGGAGTCCTCACGCAGCCCATTTTGGATGCCGGTAAGTGCAGGGCGGAGACGGAGGTTTGGGGAGGGCGAAAAATGGGCCTACCAGAAGTTCGGGAAGGCAGAGAACCTCCGGAGCCTGGAGAGACCATTTTTGCCCTCCAGGAGGCTCGAGAAAAGCCTCCAGAACCTGAGGAGGGCAAACTTCCCCCCCCCATGGTGCAGGAGGCCAACTAGGCCATGGCCACCATGGCCATGCCCACCCATCAACCGGGCAGAGAACCCCTTGCTAAAATTTTTGAAGCCCAGCCCTGGTTAGGGTCCATGTAAGCTAGCTACTATTGATTCTTTTTTCTGTGCTGTAATGTTGGCAAATTATTAACAAACTGGACAAATTAATTTGGATAAACAAATGATAAACAAGTGATTTCCATTTTTAGGCAATGTAACATCCATCTGTACCTGTAACACCTGAAACTATCAGTATTATTTTCCTGGACTTTGCAAAGTCCATATTATTAGTAAAATTAATCTGCTCATTGTGCATTCATCCTAGTTATGCAGGCTTGCAGAGTAAGCCTCCTTTATCTTCTAGCAGGTAGCTATTGCTGTGACTTTCTGATTACTAATAGAAGTCTGTTGACAATGTGCCAGACAGTGACTCCAATATTAGTTATTAGGGAGTTATTTAAAATTGTTAGCTTCCTTTAAAAAATATTATACCAATAATGTGTAGGGACAATAATTTGTGAAATACGTAATAAATTAGGCACTATACTGTATACACATATAAGGGACTGGTCTGTCTCTCTAGGCGTATTAATTTATATTACAGCACACCAAAAAAAGAAATTAATAATTAAACTGGAGAGAGTAAAAAGAAAGGCACAGCAACATCAAATAGAGAAACAGACTCCTCAAGGATCAGAAAAATGTTTGGAGCAACATCTGAAATTCCTACAATATCTGAATAATGATACTGTAGGAAACCATTAGGCTTAAGAAGGAAGAGGAAAAGCCATCACTTTCCTGTGATAGGTTAAGTACACAAACCATAACATTGAAAGATTAAAAATAAAAGATGAGCAAACCAGACATGTCTGACAAACTGTCATTTTAAACATTCCTGGTTTATCATTACTGAGGTCAGCATGATTGTCCATAATTAAGGATTATATATTCAACATCCATTGACCAAAATATTTGTGCTTTTTTGTTTTCATCTGACAGTATGATTTGGTTTTGTGGAATATATCCATGTTAAAATTCTCAATGTTCTCTGAGAAAATAATAATTTTTAATCATATTAAGTCATTAACATAGATACTATATAATTTGAACAGCATGTATTACTGAAAGACATGGATATGTTCTGATGTTTAGTGAAGTTTTTTTTTAAAAAAATACAGATAGTCCTCAATTTACAGCATTTCATTCAGTGATTGTTCAAAGTTACAATGGCACCGAAAAAAAGTGACTTATAACTATTTTTCACACTTATGACTGTTGCAATCTCCTCACAGTCACATGATCAAAATTCAAGTGCTTGGCAACTGACTCATATTTATGATGGTTGCCAGTGGGGTCGCATGATCCCCTTTTATGACTTTCTTACAAGCAAAGTCAATGGGAAAGCCAGATTCGCTTAACAACCAACTTAATAACTGCAGTGATTCACTTAATAACGGTGGTTCCAAAGGCTGTAAAATGAGGCAAAATTCCCTTAACAAATGTTTCACTTAGCAACAAAAATTTGGGGCTCAATTTTGGTCGTAAGTCGAGGACTACCTAGTAAAGTCACGATCCTTTTTAACAGTCTTCCTCTCTGCAGGTAGCACGTGCCATAGTACTTCACTCCCAGCGCTTGTCCGGACACCTACCCTTGTGATGCAGCCCTCTCTGGATGTCAAATCATTTGTGTCCTTCCCTGTGGAGACCAGTTCTGCTGTTGGGCTCTTCCCAAATTTTAACACTGTAAGTAAACAGTTTCTTTCATTGGGTGTTGCTTTATTTGCTGTGAAATAAAATACATCCTTGTGCTATCGATTGTCAACCGGTCTCACCATACGTTTAGTGCTAATTGAGGATGGATTTAATCTTGGGCACTAAATCGAAATGGAATCCTTTAACCCATACATTGTTGGGCTTTCTGGACATTGGCAGTAATAAAATACTGAACTGAACCACACCTTTTGCAAAGCTTCTAATACTATGTGTGTGTCTGTGTGCGTGTGAGGGTACACACTGAAAACAAGTTATCTAGTTACACCGCACAGGTGGTTCTGGGTTGTTTTGTGGCACTATCAAAAGGAAAGACATTTAGTCCTCACAATTAATTACCTTCTATTATCCTCAGAACCAGTTTCTTTTGTTTCCTTTGCTGCCTCTCCCTAGAGGTAATCCATTCAGCATATGTAGAAGTCTGAGAAAACCAGTCAGTGGTTTTTTTTCCTCATGGCTGAAGAAATGTTTCTATTTCCTTTTATTTTGCTTTAAAATTATGAAACTTGATTAATTAAGTAGGAGCTTGTTTTGGCTTATTGTACAGTAACGCAATGAAACCATTTATTTTGCTGACCAGAAAGCGCACTTGGGCTGTTTGCTGTATGCATGTCTGTGAGAGTATCTGTGGTTCGGAGTGATAAGAAATCTTGGTTCCCTGGCGCTGCATTATGGAGCAGTTATTGATTCAAATGCTGTTATACCATCTAATTCCATGATTTTTGCTCTGTTAATCAGAGGCATAAGATTTAATAATAATAATAATAATAATAATAATAATAATAATAATAATAATAATAATAATAATAATAATAATAATAATTTTATTTCTATACCGCCCTTCTCCCGAAGGACTCAGGGCGGTGTACAGCCTATTTAAAAACATAAAACAAAACAACAATTAAAAATTTAAAATCATTAAATAGATTAGGCTCAAATTAAAATCCCAGAAATTTAAAATACCCCAATTTAAAATTATTATGTTGATAGCCCGGCCTGGCGGAACAACAGGGTCTTCAGTGCGCAGCGAAACACCCGGAGGTCGGAGATCTTACATATTTCCGGAGGCAGTTCATTCCACAGGGCTGGGGCTCCCACAGAGAAGGCCCTCCCCCTGGGTGTCGCCTGCCGACATAACTTGGCCAATGGCACCCTGAGGAGACCCTCCCTGTGGGAGCGGACTGGTCGGTGGGAGGCTATTGGTGGCAGAAGTCGGTCTCGAAGGTACCCGGGTCCTATGCCATGGAGCACTTTAAAGGTGGTAACCAACACCTTGAATCGCACCCGGAAGACCACTGGGAGCCAGTGCAGCTCGCGCAGGAAGGGTGTCACGTGGGCGCAATGAGTTGCGCCCATAACCACCCGCGCGGCCGCATTCTGGACCAGTTGGAGCCTCCGAGTGCTCTTCAAGGGGAGCCCCATGTAGAGAGCATTACAATAGTCCAACTGGGAGGTAACAAGGGCGTGAGTGACCGTGCGCAGGGCGTCCCGGTCCAGAAAAGGCTGCAACTGGCAAATCAGGCGAACCTGATAAAAGGCCCCCCTGGCCACGGCCATCATATGCTCTTCTAAAGACAGCCGTGCGTCCAGGAGGACACCCAGATTGTGAGCCCTCTCTGTGGGGGGCAAAGATTCACCCCCAATAGTCAGCAATGGCACCTACTGACTATATCGGGCGGCCGGAAGCCACAGCCACTCGGTCTTGGAGGGGTTGAGTCTGAGCCTGTTCCTCCCCATCCAGACCCGCACGGCCTCCATCAAGGGCATCGTTGGGGTGGTCTGGGGTGGAGATGTTGAATCTTGCAGCATAATTACATTTTAAAATCAGCAAGCATGTAAGAGAAACATTTCTGCCTAAACATGAATGTGCATTTGTTCCTGGCCTTGAATTCAAGAATTCCCCTTAAATCAATGTGATTAGAAATCCACAGTTTAAGGGTGTTTCAAATAATTGTTTTTTCTATTTTGTTACTACATATCAAGGAACATCACATTAGGGTGTCCTTGGATATAAACAGATTAATTATTCTTCATTTAATGACTTGTGTCCATTTAACATTTGTAAATCCTGATTCAATCTACTTTTTTTTTTTAAAAAAAAATCCCATTTATCCTTGATTTTTCTCCTTCTCCTTGCTCAGCTTCAGTTTCATTCTAAGTGTAGAATTTCTCTTTCTATCTTCTGCTTGTCTATGGATCTTAAATTCCATTCTCTAATAGTGTATCTTTCTTTTGACTATTGATGTGGTAACATAAATGATTATCTTTATTTTGGGCTTCTTCATATTATTTATTTTGTGTGTTCTTTGTATTTTCTGATTTTCTTCATAAATCTTTTACTTTTACTTTTCAATGTATACTTGTTGATTTGGCACTGTTTTTTTCAATTTTGGCGAAGTGTTTTTTCAATGTTTTTGGAGTCAAACATCTGAAAAGCAGGGTACAAAATGGGTGAAGAAAAACTGTTAACTTGTTCATATCTGAATTGTACACACAATGTTGGAGACACTTTTTTTCCAGTCATTATATTAGTAAATGGAAAATACGGTTTGATTACTTTATGGTATGTTGTCTTTAGTATTATGTTCCATAAAACATTGTTGGTGTTCTTAAATTAAATCTCGAATAGTTTTTAAATATAACAGCATGGATCAGGCAATTTTATTGTGAACTTATATGGTATGTGACTTAAATCCAATACCTTGTATGTTTGTAGAGCCAGTATTGGTATGTTCAGACAATTCAGCAGGGACACACTGTGTAAATAATCAGCTCATGGCAATAAAAAGAAAAGGGATCCAAGTCAATTTGTGAATAATGCTGTCCAGTGAGTAAACACAGTTTGTTCATACATAATACTTAGGACCATTTCAAAGCATTAAAATTGTCATTGTAATTTGAAAGGGAAGATCGGCATTATCAGCACTGCCAGACTGAGGGAGTTTGAACCAGTGCCAGTTGTTGCCTTTGCAAAGTTATATATTTGTTTGTGTGTGTGTGTGTGTGTGTGTGTGAGAGAGAGAGAGAGAGAGAGAGAGACAGAGAGACACAGAGAGAGAGAGAACATAAGAGATTCCTTATTACTTATAAATAAATTCTGCTGACAGACCTTGCTTTCCAGTACAAAGCATGGCAGAGAGATGATAAGATAGCATTCCAATTTTAAAAACAGGCATAAGTAATGTCTTTAAATATTCATGTATTCATTTTAGTGCAGTCAAAACTGAGAATCTGATAAGTATATGTCCCATATTTATTTAACTAGAGGTGGCAGTTCATGGAGTGTTTCATAGCCTCTCTTACCTCAAAAATACTGTTGGATATTTGTGATTCACTATATTATGTCCCGAGTTTATAGCCCCGAGCAAAGCAATAGATAGCAGAAAGTAATGATATCATCAAATGTCATATTTTTCTTCTTTGTACTATGAATCTCAGTAGTTCATACAGCCTGCCTCTACCTTGAGATGAGCTTTGCAGTTCCCAAAATTTCTTTTCAGGTTTGAAGTTTAAATCCTCCTTTTCATTCACTTGCACAGTTACTTCCTTGTTTTTGCTGCTCTAACAGTGCAATATGTTGGGCGCAATAAAGAAGGAAGCTTTTTCTCATCCATTCCCCTATTATTATGGCTATGAGCCTCATGGCAAACAGCACCAAAAAAGGTAGGATAGATAGATCCCCCCCCCTTTTCTTCTAATCATAGCTAAAATAGCATGGTGCATAAGTGTGTGATGAGTGAGAAGCAAGACTGGTTCAGGTACAATAGTTAGGTTGGAAAAAGTAGCATAGAAAGCGTGTTGTGGGTGTGAAAAAAATAAAAAAGATACATTTTGATTTATTTATTTTATTTTATTTATTTTATTTATTTTTTAAATTTTTATACTGCCCCCTCTCCTGAAGGACTCGGGGCGGTGATTTTGATGCTGTGATCAGTCTATGACAGATCCCGAATTAGCTTGAGAGAATGAATTATTTTTCAAATTTGGTTGGAAATGATTAAAAAAAAAACCAAACTGATTTTCCCAGGCTTGATCATCTCAACCCTAACGATGCCCTTGAAGTGATGTCCCGGTGCCTGGAGGCCATGCAGATCTGGATGGGGAGGAATAGGCTCAGGCTCAACCCATCCAAGACTGAGTGGCTGTGGGTTCCAACGTCCCGATATAGTCAGTTGGCGCCATCACTGACTATTGGGGGCGAATTATTGGGCCCCACGGAGAGGGTTCGCAACTTGGGCGTCCTCTTGGTTTCACGGCTGTCTTTAGAAGAGCACTTGATGGCCGTGACCGGGAGGATTTTTCATCAGGTTCGCCTGATTCGCCAGTTGTGTCCCTTTCTGGATCGGGACTCCTTACGCACAGTCACTCATGCCCTTGTCACTTCCCGCCTGGACTATTGTAATGCTCTCTACATGGGGCTCCCCTTGAGGAGCACCCGGAGGCTCCAACTGGCGCAGGGTGCGGCCGCATGGCTGGTAATGGGAGCGACATGGCGTTCCCATGTAACACCTCTCCTGCGTGAGCTGCACTGGCTCCTGGTGGTCTTCCGGATGCGCTTCAAGGTTTTGGTTACCACCTTTAGAGTGCTCCATGGCTTAGGACCTGGTTACTTACGGGACCACCTACTACCACCAATAGCCTCCCACCGGCCGGTACGCTCTCATAGAGAGGGGCTCCTCTGGGTGCTGTCGGCCAAACAATGTCGAATGGCGGCCCCCAGGGGAGAGCCTTCTCTGTGGGGGCACCTACTATCTGGAATGAGCTCCCCCCGGAGATACGGAGGATCCCGGATCTACGCACCTTCCGCTGTGCTCTCAAGACCTTTTTATTCCACCAGGCGGGCCTGGCCTAATCTTTTTCTCCTTTTTCTCTTTTAATACGTAAATTTTAATCTGTTTTTAAATGATTGGGCTGTTTTAAATCTGTCTGGGCCAAATTTGTTTAATTCGGTTTAATTCTATTTTTAAAATTTT